TATTGAAAAAAAATTTAAACAAAAATTTAATTTTTTGAAAAAACAAATAAATTTCTAAAAAATGAATATCTAAAAGATGAAAATTAAATTTAACTGATGATCAAGTCGGTCAGAAGAAGAGTCACGTTGATGTCCTAATTTTTTTTTGCACACAGGTCCCTGTACGCACCATCATTTGCTAAATGAGTAACTGATGGTTAATTTTATAAACTTTTAAATTTAAGGGTTAAAAACGTAATTTTGAAAAAATAATGGGTTATTCTTGTCAGCGATCCGAGATTGGAGGGTGGTGTTGATTCTTTTTGCCTCTTGGTTAATTATAGTTTTGAGTAAATTAGTGGTTTGTTAATAATTCTGATTTTCATCCATATGGTTTAGAAATTGGGGTTTTTGTTCTTCTGGTTTGTAATTTGTTGTTATTTTCGTCTATGGATTAATTCCTCTTTTAAGTATAAAAGGCTAAAACGGTAAAAAATTGTAAACTATAGGAGTTGAAACAATAATAAATTGTCAATCATAACAATGAGTTACAAATCATAGGAACCAAAACTGAAATTCCAAAATCACAGGGACGAAAATCGCAGTTTTTGGTAAATCACAGGGACAAAAAGCATATTTTACTCTATGTTTTTATCGAAGTTCAAAGAAAATCTCTAATGCAAGGTTCTTATAAGCAAAAAATATAGTTTTTGTATATTTATTTATAAAATATAATAGTTATTGATGTTGAAACGTATACTGGATACACAAAAAATGGTTCTTACACGAACTACCATTGTGGACTTTTTATGTGAGTTCTTAATTTGATGAGTTGAAAATGACGTGATAACAAAAAGCACAAAAAACAGTTTCTTATAAGAACCTCCACTGAAGATGCCCTGATGGGGTGTTTGGGATTGCTTATGAAAACAACTTATTGACTTATTCTGATGTGGCACCGGTAATAAACATTTTCGAATGTTTGGATAAACAGCTTATATCGGTGTCAAACCGGTAATAAGGAGTTTTTGAAGAAATTAAACTATTCTAACTTATGATAAGTTGATAAAAAGTTTTGTAGAAAAGTATAAGTTGTTTCAAATAAGCAATCTCAAATACCCCCAAGTAGAAAATGAGATTGGTACATACATATGTAGAGATTACTACAAATTTCTAAAAATTTGATTCGAATTCTTGGCGCGTTTCGTTTGCAGAAGAAAATTTGGTGGAATTAAAATCGAGGTTCAAAATGGTGTGAAGGCAATGTCAAGCCTTTCACGTCACGATAACATTTTTTTTTTGATTAACCTGGATATCCAACCCGCTATGCAAGCCGACTAATTCCAGGACGACCATCTGCTTTGCAGATAGCCCGGAGTCACCGCATTTGAACCTCCATAGCCACAAGGGGATTTTTATTACTCCTTGAATTTAAACCTGAGACCTCCTGATACTTTTGACATTTGAAGCCAAGCTCAAACCAAACGATAACATATTGTAATAATAATAATAATAATAATAATAATAATAATAATAATAATAATAATAATAATAAATAATTTGAGGAATGGTCAAAGCTATATTAATTTCAAAGTGAATAAAGTAGATTATACATTTAAATATCAAATTTTAATTCTTTTAAT